CCCTGATAATTAGTGATGTGGAGCATCTTTTCATGTGCCTGTTGGCCATCTGAATTTCTTCTTTGAAGAAGTGTCTGTTCATATTCTCTGCCCATTTGTTAATCGGGTTATTTGCTTTTGGGTGTTGAGGCATGTAAGTTCTTTATATATTTTGGATGTTAACGCCTTGTGGGATATGTCATTTACAAATATATTCTTCCATACTGTGGGATGCATTTTTGTTCTGTTGATGGTATCCTTTGCCGTACAGAAACTTTTTAGTTTGATGTAGTCCCATGAGTTCATTTTTGCTTTTGTTTCCCTTGCTCGAGGAGATGTGTTCAGGAAGAAGTTGCTCATGCTTATATTCAGGAGATTTTTGCCTATGTTGTCTTCTAAGAGTTTTATGGTGTCATGACTTGCATTCAGGTCTTTGATCCATTTTGAGTTTACTTTTGTCTATGGGGTTAAACAATAATCCAATTTCACTCTCTTGCATGTAGCAGTCCAGTTTTGCCAACACCAGTTGTTGAAGAGGCTGTCATTTCTCCATTGTATATCCATGGCTGCTTTATCATATATTAACTGACCATATATGCTTGGGTTTATATCAGGGCTCTCTATTCTGTTCCACTGGTCTGTGGCTCTGTTCTTGTTCCAGTACCAAATTGTCTTGATTACTGTGGCTTTGTAGTAGAGCTTGAAGTTGGGGAGCATAATGCCCCCCACTTTATCTTCCTTCTCAGGATTGCTTTAGCTCTTCGGGGTCTTTTGTGGTTCCATATGAATTTTAGAATGATTTTCTCTAGTTCGTTTAAAAATGCTGTTGGAATTTTGATAGGAATTGCATTGAATCTGTAGATTGCTTTAGGCAGGATGGCCATTTTGACAATATTAATTCTTCCTACTGAAGAGCATGTGATGTATTTCCATTTATTGGTATCTTCTTTAATTTCTCTCATGAGTGTCTTGTAGTTTTCAGAGTATAGGTTTTTTACTTCCTTGGTTAGGTTTATTGCTACGTATTTTATTCTTTTTGATGCAGCTATGAATGGAATTGTTTTCCTGATTTCTCTCTCTGCTAGTTCATTGTTAGTATATAGGAATCCCACAGATTTCTGCGTATTAATTTTGTATCCTGCAACTTTGCTGAATTCAGATATTAGATCTAGTAGTTTTGGAGTGGATTCTATAGGGGTTTTTATGTACAATATCATGTCATCTGCAAACAGGGACAGTTTAACTTGTTCCTTGCCAATCTGGATGCCTTTTATTTCTTTGTGTTGTCTGATTGCCATGGCTAGGACCTCCAGTACTATGTTGAATAGAAGTGGGGAGAGTGGGCATCCTTGTCTTGATCCCGATCTTCAAGGAAAAGCTCTCAGCTTCTTGACATTAAGAATAATGTTGGCTGTGGGTTTGTCATCTATGGCCTTTATTATGTTGAAGTCCTTACCCTCTACACCCATTTTGTTGAGAGTTTTTATCATGAATGGATGTTGAATTTTGTCAAATGCTTTTTCAGCATCTGTGGAGATGATCATGTGATTTTCGTCCTTCTTTTTGTTGATGAGGTGGATGATGTTGATGTATTTTCAAATGTATCCTTGCATCCCTGGAATAAATCCTACTTGATCATGATGGATGATCTTCTTGATATATTTTTGAATTTGGTTTGCTAATATTTTGTTGAGTATTTTTGCATCTGTGTTCATCAGGGATATATATTGATCAGTAATTTTCTTTTTTTATGGTGTCTTAACCTGGTTTTGGTATTAACAGTGATACTGGCCTCATAGAATGAGTTTCGAAGTATTCCCTCTTCTTCTACTCTTTGGAAAACTTTAAGGAGGATGGGTATTAGGTCTTCACTAAATGTTTGATAAAATTCAGTGGTGAAGCCATTTGGTCCAGGAGTTTTGTTCTTAGGTAGATTTTTTTGTTCAATTACCGTTTCAATTTCGTTGCTGGTAATTGGTCTGTTCAGATTTTCTGTTTCTTCCTTGGTCAGCCTTAGAAGGTTGTATTTTTCTAGAAAGTTGTCCATTTCTTCTCGGTTATCCAGTTTGTTAGCATATAATTTTTCATAGTATTCTCTAATAATTCTTTGTATTTCTGTGGTGTCCGTAGTGATTTTTCCTTTCTCATTTCTGATTCTGTTTATGTGAGTAGACTCTTTTTTTTCTTTATAAGTCTGGCTAGGGGGTTATCTATTTTGTTTATTTTCTCGAAGAACCAGTTCTTGCTTTCATTGATTCTTTCTGTTGTTTTATTCTTCTCAATTTTATTTATTTATGCTCTAATCTTTATTATGTTCCTCCTTCTATTGACTTTGGGCCTCATTTGTTCTTCTTTTTCTAGTTTCATTACTTGTGAGTTTAGACTGCTCATATGGGATTGTTCTTCTTTCTTGAGGTAGGCCTGGATTGCAATTTGCTTTCCTCTTAGCCCAGCCTTGGCTGCATCCCACAGATTTTGTGGTGTTGAATTATTGTTGTCATTTGTCTCCATATATTGCTTGATCTCTGTTTTTATTTGGTCATTGATTCATTGGCTATTTAGGAGCATGTTGTGAAGCCTCTATGTGTTTGTGGGATTTTTCATTTTCTTTGTGTAATTTATTTCTAGTTTCATACCTTTGTGGTCTGAGAAGCTGGTTGGTACAATTTCAATCTTTTGGAATTTACTGAGGTTCTTTTTGTGGCCAGGTATATGATCTATTCTTGAAAATGTTCCATGTGCACTTGAGAAGAATGTGTAATCTGCTGTGTTTGGGTGTAGAGTTCTGTAGATGTCAGTTAGGTCTATCTGTTTGAATGTGTTGTTCAGTGCCTCTGTGTCCTTATTTTCTGTCTGGTTGATCTGGAGCACCTGAAAATCGTGAAAGCTCCCAACCTGCTGGGTAGTGGGCACCCGGAAAATTTTGTCTACCTGTCCTTTCTCCTGAGCAGTAAGCTCTGTGCAATCCTTGCCCCTTTAGCAGCCCTCTCACTGTTAAGAAGTCTCTCAGACTGCCTGCCTTTATTTTGTCCCAGAGCAGCTAGATATGGATCCCTGCTTTCCACAAGCAGTTGGAATCAGTCTCTCCAGGAATTATGCCTGTCTTAGCTTTCCAATCCCCTAATCACGAGAGTATCATGCAAGCACCATGAAATGTAGGTTTGTGCTCCCAGACCAGATCTCCGGAGTGAGGTGTTCAGCAGTCCCAGGCCTCCACTCCCTCCCTGCTCCATTTCTCTTCCTCCAGCCCGTGAGCTGGGGTTGGGGAAGGGCTTGGGTCCCGCCGCTGGGCCACAGCTTTGGTATGTTATGCTGTTCCGTGAGGTCTGCTCTTTTCTCCAGGTGTATGCAGATATATATCACTATGATGGCATCTATATTGTTTTTTAAATTTTTTCTGCTTTTATTGAGGTGTAATTTACAAGTAAAAATGCAAGATGTTTGAAGTATACTTTGTGAAGATTTCATATACATTTATACACATTTGGAAAGGAGCCTCTGGTCTGGTTTATTAACACATCCATTTATATCTGTATCTGTGCACGTACATCTATATCTCCCTCCCTTTCATTTCCACGATCTTCCAAGTACCCTTTCATTAAGTATTAGTTCTTCCTAAGTGTGTCAAGGTAGGTTTCTATTGCCAGCTTTTTAAAAAATTGAAGTATTATTGATATATAATCTTGTTTTGGTTTCAAATGTACAACACAGTGGTTCAACAGTTCCCCATATTATTCAATCCTCACCCCCCAGTGTAGTTACTGTATCAATGTAGAAAGATGTTACAGAATCATTGACTATATTCTTCATGCTGTACTACTGTCCCAGTGACCAGCTTACACTGTGGTTGTAAATTATTGTGCCCCTTAATCCCCTCACCATCTCCACCACCTGCCCAATCCCTTCCCCATTTTAACCACCAGCCACTTCCCAGTGTCTCTGAGTCTACTGCTGTTTTGTTCCTTCTGTTTTGCTTTGTTTTTATATTTAATGGCACCTATATTATATTGCTTATTTCAGCCACACAGATTTTGATACTTCCTTTATAATTATACTAATCTTAATAAATATTTTACTCTCCTATTCCAGTGGTAAGGGAAATGAAGTATTCTCTGCAACTAGTGAACTTCCTTACTCCTTTATTAAAATCACAGAATGCCCTGTGAGACAGGCATTTGCCTAGTTACTTTTACTTCCTTGCCTCTTGTTTTCCCTTAGATGTGAAAGCTTCCTAGAGCCTGGATGCAGACAGAGGTGAATCTGCTGTGACTCCTGGCTTAGCTACGCACTGCAGTGCTGGAGGAGGACTGTGTGCCAGTCTTAGTGAACAGCTTGATTTATAGCAGTTGCTGAGAACTCTAGTGTCATGAAATGCCAAGACCAATTTGGAAGGCTGCCAACTCTTTATTCTGATGTATTATTAAAGAGTGTGGGGAGGGAAATGATAATTTGCTACTACCGTGATTTCTTATAAAATCTCAGATTTCAGGAAGTTTTGTCATGGCAAGGAACTGTAACCACCTTACACTGGCACGGATACTCACTATATCTAACCTGATTTCTCCTGTTTTCCTGAGGGCCAGTGACAGGTACCCCACAGAGCAGCTGCCACCTATAGGCTGGTGTGTGAGAGTACTGTTGGGTAGCCTAAAGCCTTCTATTTTCTGGTGTGGCCTTGGCAAAGTCTAGAGCTCTTCCTCCCATATGTGACTCGTCCTAGTTGTTACAGTTGTTCTTAGCTGGCTTCCTTCCCTTCAGTTCAGACATAAGCCTTTGGTCCACTCCAGGTGTATGTGCTCAGAGAACTGGTACCTATTGTACCCAAAGTAACAAAGAATTTAAAAAAGTCAGTCTCTTGGCCAGCTAGCACAGTAAAGTAATATATTCTACAGGTACATGAATAGCTTCAGGAGTTCACCTACCTCTGCTGTCTTTTATTGGAATAGCTTATAATTTGACGTCTCTCTTTATTCCATCCTGTGTCACATTCTGTTGAAGTTTCTATTACCTTTCCTTTTCAGCGGTTTTGCGTGTGGCTGGTTCCCTGCAGAAGAGCACAGAAGTGATGAAGGCCATGCAGAGTCTTGTGAAGATCCCAGAAATCCAGGCCACGATGCGGGAGCTCTCCAAAGAGATGATGAAGGTGACCTGGGGCTAACCCTACATCCCATTCCAAACAACCAAGAGCCTCTCTCAGCTGTATGGCAGGGGGCTAAGCCTAGGGATGGGAAAGGAGGGCCGACCACTCTCCCAAATGATGATTTTGAAGACAAAGGAGCAGCTGTTAACACTGAATGAAACTGTGTGAGCTGAGCATGGCAGAAGCTGGGTCAGATTGCTAGAGTGTTCCTTAGAAGAAGTAACGGTGTACCCAGAGCTCTAGGAGAAGTGGTATATCCAGGGAACAACAGCTTAGGATTTAGGGAACTGGGGTTTATGGGCTTCAAAATGAGCAAGGAGACAGAAAAAAAACTGGGTTCCTCTGTCAACTTCAGGGGAGTGTTAGTGAAGCTAGTGAGGGAAGTTGTTCTAAACCAAGGATTTGCCCTTTTTTGTTGTTAAGGTCTGGATAGTGTGTTTTACACTATAAATCTCTGTTGTAACCACTCAACTCTGCTTTGTAGTATCAAAGCAGCCGTAGATAATATGTAGACAAATGAGTGTCTGTGTTCCAATAAAACTTTGTTTACAGAAATGGGCAGTGGACCAGATTTGGCCCACAGGCTGTACTTTGCTGACCTGTTTAAGACTAGAAAAGGAAAGACTGAGAGCCAAACAGAAAGCAGTAAATACCCACCACCCCCAGGACCAAGGCCTAGCAAGGACCTGTACTTGGGGTCTTCTGGGACAGGGCTCAGGAAGCCATTGTTAGGGAGCCCCCTCCAGCCAGTGTGCATCACCCATACTATCCCGTAGTATAGTCCTTCTCGTGACCCTGTAAGATAGCTGTTTTTTCCCCAGAGGAAACTGAGTCTTCAAGTTGCCAGGCAGCTTTACCTAAGTGACCTTGGTGTATAGTAGGTGACAGGTCTGGGGTTGGAGCACATGTCTGACTTGTTGCCTGAGCTGCCTCAGAGGAGAGAGTGATAGGAAGAGCCTCACCCAGGTGCTCTTCCCTGCTTCGAACCTGTGGTCAGAGAGCCAAGATTGTCCACCTCAAATTCTTGTAAATAGCTTGTGCATAGAAATTGCCTCCCTTTCTCCTAGGGCATTTCATTTTTGAACTTGAATTATATACAGGGCTCTAGGGCATAGGAAAGAGGAACTAGAGAAGAAAACCAGTGGAAAAGAAAAGCAAACAGCCCAGAGCCCAGGTGCTTGGAATGAGGCATGCTGGGGCAGCAGCAGTAAGGAGGGAACAGGTCGGGGGGTATGTCCTTTCAAAGTGGCACGAGGACATCTCTTCCCCCACATTGCAAAGACTGTCCACCTAGAAATGGTTAGAGGTAATACGTGGAGTAACGTCAGGCCTGCTCATTCTCACTTCTGTGGTCACAGGATCTGAGGGGAAGCCATTTTTAGACTCTGGGATCTTTTCCACAATAGTTTCTGAATACTGAAAATAATACAGATTTGGAGGAAGGCCTGCACATAGTAGATAACAAATATTTACTGAATTCACCCCAGGATGTATGCCCAGGTACAAACTGAAGTTTCTGATGGGGACCCAGCTCCTCAAGTCAAGAGACGACCTTAGTCATTCTGTTTGTCCTGATCCTGGCCTGTGTGGCACAGAGCAGGCATTTCATGAAGGATTGCTGATTGAATGAGTGAATGAATAAATGATATCTACCTCCAGGATGTGGAGGGCTGTTACAGTCAGGGTTCTGTGGGCTTTTTAGCTAGTCAGCTTATGTGTATTGAACCTCTTTTACAGTAGCCTCTAGCACTAGGATGACAGCCCAGGCCAGAGGGCTCTACCCATGTGACCTTGAATGTGAATTTATTTGTTCATTTTGGGTGGAGGAAAAGATCTGAGAGTTGGCAGAATCTGTTACTAGCTAGGTTCACGTATTTAGCAGGCACTTGAGTGATCTAACAGCAGAGAGGCAGGTAGGAGAGGGCTCCCTTTCAACCTGATTGCTTGATGTGGTCAGGGAGAGTCATGCCCTGGCTGAGTGCAGGACAGCTGGGGCTGGGGCTGCCACATGTGACCTGCTCTTCTTTGTATCACTGGAATATCAAGGTAGAAAGCAAGGGACTCAGTTCTTGCAGGTTGCAAAGCAGTCAGGGTTTTTCTTTTCTGGCAGCTTCTCAGAAGCCTGAATCCATTCCTTCCCTCTGCCCCCCACCACAGCCACTCAGTGCCTTCCTATCTCTTCTCCCCAGGGATGCCAGCAGCCTTCTTTTTGACACTGCAAGTTGCTATTCTGACCTTTTGCTTCAAGATCAAACAAAAAAACTGTAGGGCCTTATCTGAGGACACTGCTCAGCAAGGAGGACTGCAGGGCTTGCTTGTGTTGGCTAGTGCTGGAGAAGTTTTCTTGTGCCCTGTAGTGGTGCCATTCTACCCTGAGTACTAAGGACGCTCATTAGCTGGTTTCAGGCAGCCAGGCACAGGGCTCCTGTAGACTATGGGCATTAGCTGGTTGGGTGCAGAAGCGCTGTCTTAGCAGTTCACTCAGGAGTAGATGGTCAGCTTCAGTGGATTGAGTGCTCCTTGCTAGACCCACCAGACCGACCCTGCACCAGCAGCTGTACCAGGCACTTGCTGGAGTGCCTGCAGGCCTTTCCCCGGTTCGTGGAGCCCACCCCGCTCTCAGTATTTGTTATTCTCGTTTCTACTATGATTCCAACCAATTTTCGTACTGTGTTTCAGTCTGCACTCACAGATTGTATTTGTAATGTTAGGGCAAATGCTTCCCAAGACAGCTCAGGGCAAACCCTTGGCTGTCAGTCAGCTGTCCCAACTGCTGCCACTCTAGTCTGGGTGACTGAAGCTTTGCTGCTAGCAACACCACCCTCCAGTCTTGCTGCTATATTTGGAGAGCAGTTTCCCTTTGGCTTTTTGCCTCTGCAGAGAAGACAGGCAGCATCCGGGGTTTCCTGTGGCCGTCACTCCTGCATGTTAGCCCTCAAGAGGGTGGACTGGACGTGGACACATTAGAACTTGGTTGGTGCTGGACCCGCAGATGGGTTGTTAACAGATTTAACAGTTGAGGGAAGTGACAGGGTTTATTCTGTGTTTAGGCTGGGATCATAGAAGAGATGTTAGAGGACACTTTTGAAAGCATGGACGATCAGGAAGAAATGGAAGAAGCAGCAGAAATGGAAATTGACAAAATTCTGTTTGAAATTACAGCAGGTATGGCCCTGAAATTCTTCCTGTTTTTCCCTTCTTTTTATGGCTTTCTTCCCACATAAACTACATTATCTAGTAGCTTTTTTCTTAGGCTGTAATTTCCTTCTATATTTAAAATTTTAGATGAAGTTTTTTCTTAAAAAATAAGCACAGTGCCTATAACCATCTGTTAAAAAACAAAGATAAAGATGTTCCCAATATATTGTGTGAAAAAAGCCTTGTTACTGAAATACATGTTTGTGTAAAAAGCATGCCTAGAGAAAAAGTCTGGAAGGGGTATAAATAAAAATAGTAGTTTATCTGACTGATAGTTAATGAGGTTTTAAACTTTATTTTTACTTCTGGATTTTCTGAGTTTTATGTTTAATAGAAAGTATAAATGGTGAGATTTAACTTTTGTTTGCTTTAAATTGGGAGAAAGACTAGTTCTTCCAGGAAAATGTTTTGTGAAGACTTACAGGTTTTACTGAGTGAACATTTTCATGAATGTTGAAAATTAAATATTTAATATGGAGTTTAGGAATTTACATCATGACTTCAGAACCAAACTTCTTAAATTCAAATCCTTACCACTGTGGTATCAGTACAGTGAGTCGGTGTTTGTGCATTTGTCATAGTGAGCAAATCCCCCCAGAGCCCCCCATCCCCCACCACTTCCCACCTTCCCCCGGGCAGCTTGTTGGGTCGCCCCTTTTCAGACGGATCCCGATATGAAAAGCAGGCAAGATGAGGGACCACTTTTTTTAGCCAATGTTTTGTTCATCTGCTGTTTGCTCTGTTTCTGTTCAGGGGCCTTGGGCAAAGCACCCAGTAAAGTGACCGACGCCCTTCCGGAGCCTGAACCTCCAGGGGCGATGGCCGCATCAGAAGAGGAGGAGGAGGAAGAGGAGGCTCTGGAGGCCATGCAGTCCCGGCTGGCCACGCTCCGCAGCTAGGGGGCCACCCAGCTGGGCCCTTGGGCCCTTTTCACGGCGCACCCACCGGGTATGCACACACTCCTCTGAAGCAGCTGCTATTTATGTGTCTCTTGCACTACACCTCTGGGTATGAGGCACTGCATTGTAGAGAGTGCTCTGCTAGTATCTCTATACTCTCTGCAGAAGTTTTGGGATCTCAACATGATTATTCTTAAGAGGTGGTATAATAAATGCATTATTTTCAGGAGTATAAACAAGTGTCTTTTTGGGGGAAGGGCAAAGTAATCTATCTGTCTTCTCACAAAGCCTTTCTGAGAATAGCTTTGATTGCCTGAATGTTGAGGACTGTACATTTGTGTGTGTGTGTGTGTGTGTGTGTGTGTATATAAAACACTGTATAAATGGATTTTAATAAATGTTTGCTTTAACATTTGGTCTCATTGTAGATTGTCACATGCAGGAACTTTCAAGGTGCTTGCTGTTCCAAATTATTTCATATGTTGGCCTTGGGAAGAGAGGAGGTGCTATAGCCAGGCATGGGACTTATAGGCTCCCCAAAGGCTGTGGGCGCTGCTCCCTAGCCTTCACAGACATGGTGTAGGAACGACTCTTTTGCTCTTGGTCATCTGTTTAACCAACAGGTGTTTGGAAATCTTACATTGTTGGCTGGATGGCTGTATTATGTCCTGAGCTATGTGTGCATAGCTGTCCTTCCTATGCCCAAAGCAGACAGCTGTCAGATAGGGCTCTTCCACCCTCTGAGAACCTTTACCTGCTTTGAGCTGGTTCTCTTGGATGCATGGGATAGAGGCCCATACATCAGTGCTTCAGCAAAGCCAGGAACCAACCAGTGAGAACTGTGTGGTCATGCATTATAAACAACTCTCACGCATCTGACACATTCTTATACTACATGTATAAATAATTCAGCAGTAGCAATTTATATTTGGGTGTATTTGACAATTTATAAAGGTCTTTGACATATGTGATCTCAAGTGTTCTCAAAACAGCTCAGCTAGCTAAAGTGACATGTCCTAATGAGTCAGGAAGTGGCAGAGCTAGAGTTTAACCCAGATCCTTCTGGTCTAAGTCCTGTATGCACTAATTAATCAGGCAGGAAACAGCCCAACCGCTCTCTCACAGGTTGGTTTCTGTAGAGAAATTCTGATGTCTCAGATGTTGCTGCAATGATTTCCTTCCACTCTAATCATGCCAAATGGCAATCTTGAATCCAGAGGAATAGCCTGTTACTACTGAATTCATCTTAAGGAGATAGTTTTTAAGTAAACACGATTTTTTACAGCAGTTTTAGGTTCACATAACAGCTGAGCAGAAAATACCAAAAAATACCTCTTAGTTTGGCAAATGTAGTCTCCCCAACTTGTGTTGACACCCCATACCGCAGAAATACATTTGTCACTGGAATCATACAATATGTAGCACTGAAACACTGGCTTCTTTCACTTAATAACATGCATGTAAGTTTCCTCCAGGTCTTTTATGACTTAATAGTTCATTTCTCTTTAGTGCTGAATAATATTCCACTGTCTGGATGTACCATTGTTTATTCACCTCCTGAAAGACACCTTTGTTGCACCCAAGTTTTGGCAATTATGAATAAAGCTGTAAATGTGTGCAGGTCTTTCTCAAGTTTTTTGGGTAACAACCAAGGACACAATTACTGGATTGTAAGAGTATGTTGTCTAGTTTTGTAAGAAACTGCCATACTCTTCCAAAATGGCTCTACCATTTTGCATTCCCAGAAAATAAAGTATGAGAATTCCTACTGCTTCATTTTCACTAGGATGGTGTCTATGTTTCACATTCTGACTAACAGTTGTGTTGTGGTATAGTTTCAATTCGTGATTCCCTAATGACAAATGATGTTGAACATTTTCATGTGCTTTTTTGCCATGTATAAATCTTTGGTGAAGTGTCTGCTTAAGCCATCAGCAGAATTTTTTTTTTTTTACATAATTATTTTTTATTGAAGGGTAGTTGTCACACAGTATTACATTAGTTTCAGGTGTACAACACAGTGATTCAATATTTATATACATGATAATTCTAGGTACCAGCTATCACCATACAAAGTTGTTACAATATTTTGACTAAATTCCTTATGCTATATATTACATCCTGGTTACTTATTTATTTTACAATTGGAAGTGTGTACTTTTTTTTTTTTTTT